CCTTTGGTTACCGTTCAATACCCTGCCTCTATCATAGATCTATTCATCGCGCCAGAAGGGGGCGTTATTGCTTACTTTGAGAAACGCTGAGCTAAAATATAAGTCAATGTGTTAGAAATATTCAAGCTGTGACCTTCAATAAAAAATAAAAAATATATAAAATGTCAACATTTTATATATATTCCGTCGAATTTTTATATATAGAATTTGTCTGCCGTCGCCCCTCTATATTTCCTTAACGCCCCCAATTCTCTTTGAGCCTTCTACTGCCCCCCCTGAAAGCCTCCAGCGCCCACAAGGGGGCGTTATCGCCCACTTTGAGAAACGCTGCATTAGACGAAAATGTAACACCCAAGTATTTGTAATTAGAGACAACTTGAATTGGAGAACCCTTAAACCACTATTTATCCGCCCTTGCACTCTTACCTCCTCTTCGAAAAACAACAATCTTAGACTTATTCGAATTCAATTTCAAACTATTTTCATCTAAATAAATTGCCAATTTATCAATCAATCTTTGAAGTCCAACAACAAAATTAAATAAAATTACAATATCATATGCGTAAGCCAATATTTTAATCTAAAAACCACTTATTTCTATACCAACTTCAGAAGAATTAATAATGCCAAAGAGATCGTTCAAAAAAATACTAAAAAAATTGGGCTCAAAATACAGCCCTGCTTAACACCAGTCTTAGAGAACATTAACCACAAGAAATTCCTACAAACTCTATCAAAGGCAAAAGATAAATCAACAAAAAATGCATACACTTTCCTACATTTCCGTAAAAGAGTTTTCTGAATAACAGTGTACAAAACAAAAATATTATTCAATGTAGTATAACTAGCTACAAATCCTGCCTGATTTTTATGCAAGATATTTTTAACTTCTAACCATCGAGTCAGTCTTTTATACAAAATAGTACAAAACAATTTAGAAACACATGATAACCAGATGCCTCTAAAATTAACAGGAACACCCTTCCTACCGTTCTTAAAAATCGGAATTAAAATACTCGTCTACCAAGACTCCGGTATTATCCCAGTATCAAAAATCTTTGAGAAAAGACTGAAAAGATTTGGTCTCAATGTCTCAAAATTCTAGATATCCATTGGGATCCCATCAGAACCTGGGGCTTTATTTGGTTTATACCTCCTCAGAGCAAAGTTAAGCTCACTTATAAAAAATTCATAGTCCAAAAGTTCATCATACCAATTCCTACAATAATTGAAAATCGAAATATCCGTAAAATAAGGGTCCAAGAAACCAAATAAATTGAAAAGTGATGAAGCCAATCATCAATAGGAATAAAGCTGAAATTACAAGACTTGGCCTGCTTGACGTGTCGAAAATAGTTCCGAAAAAGTCTGTTATATTTCCTAAAACAATTCTGAATTTTACCAGCAAATAATTTTTTTTCGCAATGCACAACCACTTCACAAAACTTTGTAATATAACAAAACGCAAACGATCATTAGAATCATTACTCTTCCTAAAAAATCTCCAGGCTCTATTCTTAGCACTAATTAACATCCTACAGTTTGAATAGAACCATAAAAAAGAATTCTTATGTCTCCTGGTATTAAATCCACACTTACAGGCCAAACTGAAAAGACAATTACTTAAGTCTTCCATTGAATCAAACTTATTCGTGGTACATATTTCCTTCATAGCCAACCTTAATTCATCAGTTCTAGATTTGTCCCAAAATAAACTATTAATTTTTTGCCTCTTTTCTAAAGAGACCGATCTCTCATTGCCACATGCCAGTCGTAAAATCAAAGGATTATAATCGGAATCCAAACATTGATCCACCGTAAAAAAGAGAATACCTTTTCAAATTAACAGATAAACTATGACCAAATTAATAACAGAACAACCACAATTAGAGATGAAAGAATATTCACCCACTTTATCACCTAAACATCTCCCATTAACAATAATCATATCTAAATCATCACATAAATGAAGCAACTTTCTACCACAAGAGTCAATCACCAAGTCTTTCGAATTCCTACACAAAGGACAAACAAATAAAATTCATAAAGATACATTAGGAAAACACAAAACTAATATTGATAAATTGAAAAAAAACTGGAACTGTTTATAGAATCAATTGTAACTGTCAAAATCCTAAAGAATACATAGGTGAAACAGGTCGGACTTTGGAATTACGGATAAAAGAACACGAAGCTGCCATTCGGTTAAAACATGATAATTCACTTTGGTATAACCACATTAAAAACAGTAATTGCAAAATAGATAGAAATAGTATCAAAATCCTACACTGTGAGAAAAATATATATAAACGTAAATTTAAAAAACATATAGAGATAATAAAATACAATGGTAATAATTTAATAAATATTTCAAATGGCATGCAAATCGATCAACAATGGTATAACATGATAGAGAGCGCAACAAGTCAATTGTTTATAATTTTACGAGTATACATTGTCGTGTAAAAAATTTTATTGTCTGTTTAACATTTTTTAAAGTTTATACAACATATACCACTGTGTTCTTTTTGAGACACTTTTAAGGTAAACCTTATGTACGTATTATTTGTAAATGACCTTTTTTTGGAAAAATTGTCAAAGACATTATAAATTTGAAAACATTATAAATTGATAGTAGAAGTACTGTAAAAGTGAGGAAGAAACATGTGGGGCATCTTAAGNAAATGTAAATTCAATGAACACATAGAGATAATAAAATACAATGGTAATAATTTAATAAATATTTCAAATGGCATGCAAATCGATCAACAATGGTATAACATGATAGAGAGCGCAACAAGTCAATTGTTTATAATTTTACGAGTATACATTGTCGTGTAAAAAATTTTATTGTCTGTTTAACATTTTTTAAAGTTTATACAACATATACCACTGTGTTCTTTTTGAGACACTTTTAAGGTAAACCTTATGTACGTATTATTTGTAAATGACCTTTTTTTGGAAAAATTGTCAAAGACATTATAAATTTGAAAACATTATAAATTGATAGTAGAAGTACTGTAAAAGTGAGGAAGAAACATGTGGGGCATCTTAAGGTATTATAAAATATCTTTTTGTGTTGTGTAAACATTTTCTACTCGAGTTGTTTTTATGTCAATTCAATTTGAATTTTATTTTGTAGCACTGAAGAGGGGCTAGAAATTTAAACTTGCTCGAAATGCATCTGTAGAAAAACAATGAAAAAGTTTTATAACCTGTAGAGCTGTGAGAAAGTCTACCGAAAAATTATTCGGATTAAAGAGACATTTACCCATTTAACTAATTCTTTTATTTTTTGCATTAAAAGCACTACTATGCATTTTCAGACATCTACTATCTAATGTTTGAAGTTTTTTACCCGTTACTATTAAGAAATTATTAACGCTTAAATTTAGTTTATTAATATTTTTTTTGAACGAGTTTAACTGTTATGTGATCCTCTTCTAATATTTTTATTTATTAGCATTTTTCTCAGCAAAACCTTGAAAATCTTTATTTAATTCATTCATTATTTTTAATTTTTTATCAATATATTCCTTGGTTGCAGCATCGTTTTTATCTGTTAGATGCTTACAATATTTTAAAATCTTATTTTGCATATCATACGTTAATTGAAACTATTACTCGGAGAACGAGAAGGACCTTCTTTTACTTTATCATAATAATTACCAAAAGGAAACCAAGCCATTTAATTACGTTAAAGTTTTAATGGATTCAAGAGTCTTATTCTACATATTTATAAATCTTTTTCTTTTTTGACTAAAACAAAATAAAATCAATACGGTTTAACAAATGTTTATGTCAATTGCCAAAAGAATTCAACTTTTAAATTATCAATATTATTATAGGAGGGATGATTAGAAACAGATACAGATACAGATATTTATTGATCAATATGCCGTATGGCATATCCCGGTGCCACTAAGTATTACCGGGTATATACAGGAAATTACATAGTTTACACTGAAGATTTCGATAACTAATTATTAACGTAAATAAAATTAATTAACGCGTGTACAATTATATATATGAGGTTATACACGCGTGCAAAACATTAATAAGTATTAATAGATAAAAATAAATTTAAAACATAAAAGTTGCTGGAAATGTGACAGAGTCATAATATCATATAGTTACATGAGGAACATATGCTTTGTTATCTTACGCGACAATTCTATTTCAGCAGAGGTTTCCTCTCCTCCATTCTCTAAGACAGACGCAGAGGTATAGTCAGTCTAGATAAAAGTTTTATTCTGCTGAAGTAAAACCCCTGCACAATCCAAACACATTTTTGGGCATAGTAATACAAAGTCAAAACAAGATTCCTTAAGCAAATATTTCACACAACTACGGCCAATCAAGTATTATAAAAAAAAAGTAGGGCACATAAGTATAACGAGGGTAAATGTGTTAACGAGAATACAACAAAAAATGTAAAATATATAATAATAAAAGAAATAAAATAGACAAAACGCCGATAGAGAACCCATGGTATCAATGCTAAACCTTTCAAAAGAAAATGCAGACAAGTACAATCACGAAATAATTATATTAGGATAATTTATATTTTCACTAACCAACAGTTGGCTATTAATGGCCAGAGTAAGCTGGTAACCTGGTCCTTACAAAATACATGTTAACGAGTTGTACAAAGGCATCGAAGGTATCTTTGTGATCAAAGAGACGTTCTAAAATGGGAGATGGCAAATGGAGATCATGAGACTCAAGTAACAGTTTTAAAATCAATGTTTCACTTTCTAGCATAGGACATGTATAAATATAATGATTGCTGCTGTCGTTACAATCACATATAAGACATTTTGAGTTTGTTGTGCCCTTGAATCTTGAAAAATATGAATAAAATCTCCCATGATTTGTTAATATTTGTGTGAGTTGGTGGGTAGGCTTGTACCATTTATTATTAAGGAAATTTGTAATATCTGTAATATATTCATGTGTTTTATTATTAATATTATTCCATTGAAGCTGCCATGCATGAATTAGTTCTTTCCACAGGATAGTTTTAATTGTTTGTATACTAATTCTNTAATATCTGTAATATATTCATGTGTTTTATTATTAATATTATTCCATTGAAGCTGCCATGCATGAATTAGTTCTTTCCACAGGATAGTTTTAATTGTTTGTATACTAATGCTTTTGTAAGTTACAGGTAAGTCCTCCTTATAAAAAGCCTCTTTTGGAAGTTCATCTGCCAATTCATTTCCATAGTGCCCTTGATGTCCTCGAATCCAGTTTATAGCGAAATGACAACTGGATGTATTTATGATATCTTGTATACGATTTGCAATCGGATGATAGTTTCTGCTTTTTAGCAGAGCTATGGCAGAAGAACAATCAGTATTAACAGAAATCCTTTTGTTTGTATAATTATGCTTACACCAAGCAACAGCCATTTGAATGGTAAACAATTCGGCTTGGAAATTTGAGCAATATTCACCAAGTCGATATTGTTCCATAGTCAATATCTCTTCACGGCAATATGCAATAAAACTGCAGCCTACTCGGTTACCCGTTTTAGAGCCATCTGTATAAAGATGAAAGTCTACATTATCATAGGTGTTAATACCAAAATTATTTGTGGTAGCAGGATGTCTTGATTGATTAAATGCCACTGGTCTTTCGACGTCCTTTGCCCTAATAATGTAATCATCAGTTTGTATATTCTGTCCCCATTTGATATGCCAAGTTTTTGCAGTATAAACAATGATCTTATCAATAGGAAGACATCTTGCCAGAACTTGGATGGAGACATTAGGAGTTGTGCAATAAGCTCTGGTCAACTGGATCAGCGCCTTTCTTTGTGCAAATATAAGTTTTCTATTTATATGAATTTTATATATATCTTGGCTCCAGCTACCGCAAGCATATGTAATTATTGGTAGGAAAATTTGTTTGTATATGATGTTAAGGGCATCGGTAGTAAGTCCCCAGCGTCTCTTAGCAAAGCCAGTAAGAATATTACATATACTGCCAGTACGATCAGTGATGTATGCTATGTGTGTATTCCATGATAAACGATGGTCTAATATGATTCCTAAATATTTTATGGATTTAACAATTATAACAGTTTGTCTATCCATCTTAATAACCAAGGTCCTCAGGTAGAGATTCGGTTTACCGGGTTTATTAAAAACAATTCCCATCGTTTTGTTAATGTTAAAGGTAAGTTTGTATTCCTTACCCCATTTGCTTATCTTACTTAAAGTATCATTACCAAAAATCTCTAGAGCAGCTCTCGAATTACCCCCAGAAAAACGATTTCATCATCTGCATAAGCAATTGTTATGTGGCCAAAGCTCTGTCTTAAAAAGTTGTCAAAGACAGTATTTTACAAGATAGGGTCACATACAGAGCCCTGAGGGCAACCCCTAACGACATTTCTACGCATAATGTGAGCACCATAACACAGCTCTGCAGTTCTATTGTTTAAGTAATGAAATAAAAATTCTATATATGTTTCTGGGACATTGCCTATCTCGCAAGCTCTGCAAAATCGATGGCCACCATGCGCTGTCGAAAGCTTTTGCTATATCCAGGCTTATAGCAAGTACGAATCTATATTCCTCTAATAAGAGATTTATACTTTTGATAACTTTCTCAATTGCGTCTGGAGCAGATTTTTGTGGGCGAAAACCATATTGGTTGCTATGCAAATATTGATTTGTCTCCGAATGCCAAGATAATCTGTCAGTCAATAAACGTTCAAGTACCTTTCTTAATACCGGCAATAGAGAGATAGGCCTACACTTATCCAGATTTTTCGGTTTGGGCACAGTTACGATCCTTTCCTTTTCCAAGAATTAGGAAATATTCCAATTCTTAGACATGTGTTGTAAATTTCAGATAGTTGATCAGGTATAATAACCCACAGTTGTTTCGCCAAAAGTGGCGTAATATCATCGTATCCTGCTGCTTTTTTGTTGTTCATTTTTGTAAGCGCCCAAGCTGTTTCTTCAGTGGTAAACTCAAGAGTGTCATTGGTGTATATATTACTTTGTATGTTCTCTCGTACGATACGATGTTGCTCATTCTCCTGAAATATATGATCTGGAAGACAGAAAGTGTCCATTTTCCTGTTGGCAACCTCCTCAAAAGTTTGTCCGATGTTGGTAGAGTGCAGTATTTGTTTTCGCCTTAGTTTTTTTGTGCAATATCTTGTGATGAATCCCCAGAAGTTATTTCCAACATTCCTACAAAATTCTCTCCAAGAATTAAACTTAGCCATCTTAATAGCATTTTTATAATTTTTAAGATGTTCAAGATAATTTATCTTGTGAATGGAGCGCTGTGGTTCAACATGGCATCTCTGAAAAGTCTTCCTTAGCCTTATGTTAACAGTTCGAAAAGTTCTCAGGTCATCATTCCACCAAGGCGCTATGTGTTTCCTATTGCTGATGTATCTAGGGATAAATTTGTTACATGCAGTTTTAATCATTTCGATTGAGCTATCGATAGATAGTTCAGTTGCCTGGGGATTTTCTCGATTACAGATGGGAAGGTATGTTTGGAGGTAATTCTGGAGTCCGTACCAGTCCGCACCTATCAAATTGAATTCGGGACGTGGTTGATTAAAATTATCTGGTATAATGCTGGATATATTGAAAGCAATCATTGCGCGGTCATCTATGGACTCTTCTATAATCTTCCGTCTATGAACATAAGTAAGACACTCCAAAGAGCATGCCGTGATGTCCAGCCAACTCTCTCCACGGTTAGAGACAAAAGTGGGAGATGTCGGGTCATTAAGAATCTGCAACCCATTTCGTGCGAAAAATTCTTCCCAACATCTACCACGATGATCAAGGTGGTCACCCCCCAGCAAGGGGAATGTAAGTTGGTATCTCCAGCTAGAACGAAATAAGTATTGGAAAAAGTATCTACAATGCCCTACATATCTGAGACGAATTCCTGTATATTACAATCTCCAGGGCAGTAAAAGTTTATAAATATGTACCTACATCTGTTTATAATGATTTCTGTACAGCAAATGTATTTATTACTGATATTTTTGTGATGTAAAATAGAAAGCTTGTTATGTGTGGCTATGGAAGTTGCCCATGGATAGTCTGATGTGCCGGATAAAAATATACAAGATGTAGGTAAACATGCAGGTATGAATTTGATACAGTATTGTTCTTGTACTAATACAAAATGAAATTTATTAATAACTGAGGCAAGGAGGGAAGTAGCTGCAATTCTTTTCCCTGTGTTATATTGCAGAAAACAGATGTTATTGTTAATGTATTGGTCGTTGTATTAGGTTATTTTTAATTCTGGCAAATAATCGACAAGAACCATCTCTAGCATTGTGGCCACAAGCAGAAGGACCATCGTGTTTACAATTGCAGCAAATAGCTGGTTTGTTCTTGTTAGTGCAGTCCTTAAAGCTATGTTGGCCAGCACAGTGACTGCAAGTTGGTACCTCTTGGCTACATGAAGTGGAAGAGTGTCCAAATCGGTAGCAGCGAAAACATTGGAGTACTGGGCAAAAGTCAGTAATTCTACACTTGGACCATTGGACTGAAATGTTTCCGTATTATAATAGTTGTAATCTCAATTTTGGTGATACTTCTATCACCCAGTTATTGTAATGTTTGCCCTTCTTACCCATGCAAAATTTAATCCTAAAGTTTTCTAAAAATTCTTTTTCAGTGCATGTTACTCCAATGTTCTCATTTTGATGGAAAATACATAATAGTAACTCTTTTTTTAATAGCTCAGATGGCACTGAATAAATAGCTAAATGAGACAGTTTTTTCTTAAGTTTCTTAATTACTATTTGTGGAATTTCCTTCCTGACAAATTGTTCAAATTTATTCGCATCCTCACTGTCCCCCATCTCCACTGCCACACCCCCTCTTCGATATTCTTGATTTTATCGATTCCTATGGCCAATTGCAATGGTCTTACCCGGTCGTACAGGATTTTCCTCAAATGATTTGAATCAGCCTCTCCATCCACATTATACAAAAGTAGTACCTCCATACTTGTATTCAGATGTTTAGGCCGATTATTTACATTAGGTTTGCCAGATTTTAAAACTTCACTGTATGTTTTCAATGGTTGTCTTTCAGCATTGCAAATAGTTTCCACCTTTTCCAATTTCTCGTATAGGCATTTCTGATTGTTTAGAATTTCATTGATGGTACCTTCGTTTAATAAATTTACCTGATTCTGAGATTGCTGTAGATCCTCTCTCATATTAAAACCTTCATTTATCTTTGTAATTTCATTTTCAATCCTGCCAATCGAACTATCTTCCATCTCTTCAAGCTTTCTCAATNATTGTTTAGAATTTCATTGATGGTACCTTCGTTTAATAAATTTACCTGATTCTGAGATTGCTGTAGATCCTCTCTCATATTAAAACCTTCATTTATCTTTGTAATTTCATTTTCAATCCTGCCAATCGAACTATCTTCCATCTCTTCAAGCTTTCTCAATAAGTCATTTTGCGAATCAGGCATAGTGTTATCTTGTATGATATCTAATTTTTGCTAGAATTTTATTGTTTATTTCATGATGTTTTTCATTAACTAAACTATGGGTAATGTTATTTTCCAGTTTGTCAAGTCTATCCAAAATTGTTTGTTGGAAATCATCCATTTTGAGATTCTCGCTCAAACAAATTATGTCCTTCTTTGTAGCCAAAGTAGTCATTTTTTCCTGGGTGGCATCAAGAGACTTTAAACCATCAAAGAAGCCTTCAACTAGGTTGATGACCTTATTGAATTGATCCATAATGAATTGCACGTGCATAGGTACATTGAATCTACCATTAGGATTGGCTTTTGCGTACGATTTAATTTCATCCAAAATGCCATCGACAGAGGTTCTAAACATCTCACGAGTAGCAGACTCCATGACGATAATTAGTGTGGATATGATACCAATATATAAAAAAATAATAAATTATATCCAAAATAACGCAAGATATAGGCTTAAGATCGATTAGTCTAATTACATATATTGTAAGGTTTTTTTATGAAGATTATTTTTATGCGATTTTGAAGTTGTGCGGTTTGTATTTCATTCAAAAATTTCTCGGACAAACATACATGTAGGCTTGTTTAAGAAGCCCGCGTATAGACAGTCTCCAAAAATCGTGGAACGCTCAAAGCTCACTCTATTTGTTCCACTGACATATAACGTTTATAGATGTAAAGGACAGCTAGATCTGCCTTAATCGTTTTACTTCTTAGCAATTTTTGACATAAATGTAATTAAACATAAAAAATACTTAAAACTGAAAAAAAACGAAAGAAATGCGTTAATTTTGAAGAAAAAGCTTCAAAGTTTAACTTCCTTTGTCTCGCCCTTCTGTGAAATTTAACACCGATGAGTCATTGTTTACACATCTGGATGACCTTGAACACAGCTGGAGTTGGATTTCCCGGGGCATTCTCATAGACGTCGCGGGAGGACAAGGGTTTAAAGTAGGGTGAACACTAGCTGGCCGTATATTTTTAAATATTTTTAAAAAATTTGGAGACTTAAAAAACATTCCAAAAATTCAAAAAAAAAATTCCAAAATGGCCTTAAGGACCGTGTTTTATGTAACGCTATGTAACCTGCCCGAGTTAACTCGGGCGAGGAACTAAAGGGGTTTTAATTAACTCTTCACATCCAGATGTCAGTGATTTGTTTTTAGAGTGAGCTTTTGCAATTCGGGGATTCCCCTTGTACATGATACCATCGACAAGTCGCTATTACATCATTCTGAGTTTCGCATTGAAAGGTATAAACTGTAATTGTTTTGAAATTAAATTTTATATGAATTTCTTTCAGACATTCGAAGTAATTTATTAAGCAGCTTATTTTTTTAATTTCTGAAAACTTTTTATGCGGTTTTAAGTTAATTTTAACTCGTTGTTTTGGTTTTTCGAGATTTTAGAAAACTACGGAACGTATCTCTACTTTTTCAAGGCAAGTAAACTCTTTCTTTATGCGAATTTTTTATATGCGCTTTTCTGTAGAACGTATCCACCGCATAAAACGAGACCTTACAGTATATATAAATATATATAAATTGAAATAAATACCAAAACTTATATAATATAGCTTAAGATTAACTTATAATAAACGATAATAGTGAAAGTATACTGTAATTCCTTTAACAACTTTTTATATAATTATTCTATATGTTTATACATATCACCAGTATATCCCTTAAATTACCTTGATTCAAAAAATATATAGTTATCAGTATGTTAAGTAAGAGCAATAGCCGAATTTACCGATTTTCCACTTAACTAATGTATCTCTATGGAGAGAGGTCAATGACCTTTGCTGTTGAAACGGAAGTTTGGCCGATGTTGAAATTCGAACTAGAAAACTATACTGTCCATAATTCAAAAACTATTGTAGATAATTGATCGAAATTTTCTAAGAAAACTACTAAAAGGTTCCTAAAAGAACTGCCCGAAGAATTATCCACCAATTTGCCGAAAACGAAATATCGGCATTCGACCCCCGACCGGAAGTTTGATGGTATTAAAGCCGTAGATGATCCGAAGACCACGAAGTTTCAGATAGTACAAAAATCTGACAGTTCGCGCCAGACGGCATCAACCGATCCGGTTAAACGGTACTTTAAGTAACAGTTTTCTGGAAAATGTTATATTTTTCCCAAATTTCAAAAAGTTCAAAGTTTAAAAAGTCCTACTTGACTAATTATGATTCTCCTCGTCTTCCGATGCAATATTCCACAAAGCACCACATTATTAAAACAAAATTTCCACTAAAAACACTAAAACTTTTAAGAGCACAACAAGCAGCATCTTATCCATCACCGTTCTATAATTATTATAGAAACATCGAAATAAATAATTGGATACAGTTTCCCATAGTTTGTATAACTTACTAAACAACCAGACTCTGTGCTATTGGTATTTAATCCCATCGCTAAAAAATCAGAATAATATCTCGAATAATCTAATTCTCCAGGTTTATAGCTAGCATTATAATTTTCTGTTAAATATTTATCATTATTAATTCTTAACCAACATCTCATCATATCTAAGTTATCAAATATATTATTTTGATTCTGATTGTTTTCTTTTTCTTAATATTGTGGGATTACAAAAATATTTCTGATTTCATCTGTGGTTGTATTTACAATTATCGTACCGCTAGAACCATTTTGAACGTTACTTTTAATTAATCTAACAGAACACCAATTAATTTTTATATCTGATGAGGGATTTAGAGATACACTATTAACACAAACTTGTGGTTCTGGATACAGCTTAATATCAGGTAACCGAAGTGAAATATCAGATATTATAAATTTATAATTCGGATTGCCAACGTCGATACAGATCATAACGTTTTAAAAAAATAAAAATTAAATTCAATTTTTATTTTTTTTAAATGTATTATTGTGATAGTGGCTTTAAGACACCAGATAACGCTTTTATCATACTTTACGTTTTTTACTACAAAGGCAGCGGCCTAAAAAGAAAGGTCGTCACCGTGAGTTTTCTGATTTTATGAACTGCGGATGGTGTAAAACAACGGAAAAAAAACTAAAGCAAAGTTACATCTTTGTTAAAAGTTGTATTTATATTATATTTATTATATTATAGATCATATCATTATTCGAATTTCTCC